TATATATATATATATATATATATATATATATATATATATATATATATATATATATAATATAAAAAGTAATCACTCTCAAGATTTGAGAATGCCACCACTGCTCAACGAAATAGCACAGAATCAATTTAGTTCGTTACTAAATTTTCAATGTCTAACTGAGAAAAGAATTATCATAATAAATTAGACATTTTGACATGAAAGATTTAGCAACGAACACCTTACGTTTGGCTCTGACAAGCACTCTCGTTCCGAGATAACACGATTTATTTAAGATAGAGGATTCGTGGTATCTCACTGTCGAAAGCATTTTTCTACGACCCAAGATACGCGCAGAACTTTTTTCGCTCTCGGGCAGGCACGAACGCCTTAAGAAATATCAAAATTGATCTTATGCAACGGAAATGCTATCTCGCCCGGACCGTATGATCATAGAGCGCGACGTGAATGAGAATAAATAAATGACTGCCGCCGTCGTGCGTCGACTTGACGATGAGCCAAACATCTGGGGTTTTGTTTGCCGCGCTCCATATTGATTTTGTGGATCGCATTGCAGCCCGTTGAGGTCAGAATACCGCGAAGGAACTTATATACCGCGAGAGAGAGAGAGAGAGAGAGAGAGAGAGAGAGAGAGAGAGAAAGAGTTGTGTCTTAAGAATTTCTCAATATCCCACTCCGATAGTATTCTCGATGTGGCCGCCGAAATCAGTTTCAAAATGAGTTCGGCCGTGCGTTGAAAAGCTATCGAAAGCCGCGCGGAATCACGGACATATTACCGCTAAACGACAATCGTATTCTAACGGGTCCGAATAGTTTTAATAATGTGTGGGCTTTCTACAATAAGCCATTAGTCGTAACACATAACGCATAACACATAAGATATAAGAAAATCCATCAATTACAGTTCTTCAGAATAAAAACGAAGAATTCTGATCGGTGGATTCTCTTATGCTTTATGTGTTATGCGTTACGACTAGTGGCTTATTGTATTTAGAAAGCCCATTACACCTAATGATATTGAGGAGCTTATTCGCCGGATGTGTATTATCAGAGCGTCCAAGATTTTCAGTAACGTATCAAGAAAGTTATTTATTTCATTCACTATTTATCGAACAAACTTACGTTCTTATATATTTATTTCACTATCAAGATAATAAATGTTAATTTGAAACTAATGTCACAATACCGTCTATAAAATAGCAATTCTCTTCCTACAATTGACCATTACACAAATACAGTAAATACTATTTTTTCTTCTCTATGCCGCATTTCCTAATATGTAACATTTATAACGTATCACTTTTCACGAAGTTACACTGGAATAATGGTCAACTGTATTGCTTGTATCACCTATGTACATATATATATATAATAGAATGGCTGTCTGTATATTTCTTGTCGGTTTGTATATTCATTAACCCCTAAATCCTGTGACCGATTTACATATTTAACCAAATTTTGCATAGTTAGTCTTTAGAGCCTTGCGGAAAATACAGGCTACATGAAACCTAGACACAACTCACCCTGTATCCCTCATTTCATCCCCTTGGCTTGGTGATAATTTAAGTTTAAATGTTCTAGATATAAGAACTCCGGGCAACGCCAGATAGTTCAGACAAAAAAAGTGAGATAAATTACGATATGTAATGGTTAAATTACAATGTCCAATATTAAATTTCTCACAAACGGTGTGGCAATTCGAAACTTTAGCCATGAATGTATTTAAATATTATTGTTGTTAGGACCAAATAAACGTATAGGAAATATTGCAAGAAATAGGAGAAATGAAAATCTTTATCAGTAAATTGTGTGTGATTCGGATTATAAATGCTAATAATATTTAATTTAAAATTACTTTTACCAAGCCTCAATTAACTTAATCGTCGTTTAATTCCGTTGTAACCAGCAAATAGTTATTGGCCAATTCTGCTTGTTACAATAGAATTAATCGACGATTAAGTTAATCGAAACTTGATAAAAGTCACCTTAAATTAATAAATATTATTAACATTTACAAATATTTATTTATTATATTATATATTTTATTGATAAAGACTTTTATCCAATTTTTTGCAATATTTCCTGTACGTTTCCTAAAGGTCCTAACCACATCATTTATTTTGATAGAAAACGTACTTTTTTATAGTGAAACTTATCACTTTAATATTTATATATCTTTAATATATTCATTAATTTCATGAAAAAATAATTTAAGATTTCAAACGCCGCAAAAGGAGGCTAAACTTTTCTTGGGTCACTTTTAGATAAGCATTTTGGTTTAAGTGAACAAACTCCTTGACTATCATATCTTCTCGGTAATTCTTCGCTCAACCCGTCCTCCCCAACCCGTTATCAGGCGTAGTTGTGCCGTGGGAGAGAATCTTTTGCTCGGATCCTTTCCGAGAATCCTTGCGCAGAAAATCCTCTTCAGCAATATTTAAGGATATACTACGCCTGCAAAAGTAACGAAGTGAATCGTCTGCGGAGGATAAAACGCGAGCATTGCCGCGATTGTTACGCGACTCTCCTTTGTGGAATCAGACCGGTAACGCCGGTGTCACGTTTCGGACGTTTGCATCGGGCGGAACAGCGATAACATAGCCCGAACGGGAATTCAAAGGCCGATTCAGTGGTCAATAACCGACCTCCAAGAGAGACGAGAGAACCCGGCAGGGGTGGCAGCTTGCAAAACATTTAAAAATAGCCAACGAACGCAGAAGCCCACGCGCAACCTTGAAAACTTTTCCTCGGCATGCTATCAGGCAGGCTTTCCTCGTTATCCGCGAGTGCTCCACAGCAACATCGCGAATTATTCCGCGGCGGCGGAACGCCTTGTGTTTACCGATGTCCGCGCGCAATATATATTTTTAAAACGCCGCTCTCTTTTGCACTCGCCCCCGCGCGCGACGTGAAATTTCGCATCCTCTTGAGTGTGATCTGTAAATGTGTGTGTGGGCTTATTTTTAAATTTCCTCGCGTTACAAATAACTACGTTTTCGAGACGTTGAGACCTATGCGATTACCGTACCAAAGGAATATTAATACGACAAGAGGGCAACTGTAAAGAAAGTTAATTAATTTTCTAGTGAATCTGCATCTTTCATTGAACGAAACTTTTACCGATTCTGGAAGTATCGTACTGCCGTTTTAATAAAGGGGAGAAGTCGAATCGCATCGCGATGTTGTCTGTCAGAGAAGGATCCAGGAATCAAATCGTACAATTGACGCGAGAAAGCGATCGATTTCACGTCATATCGACTCTCTCGCGACTGTCAAGTCGACAATAATCATCTTTCGTTCCCGTCAGCTGACTTAAGTGCGAGATGCAAAGAGAACGGGGAATTTCATTCGGAAGTGTCACGGCGGCACGCGCACCGGCACGCTTAAAATTCGCCGCGAAATTACTTATGGCAGCGCGGAAAGGGCGAGTCGATCGCGTGCTCTGACGCTTTCCTCCTTCTCTCCATGGACGACAAACAAGCGTGGGAGGTTGCCGAAAGTTCTGCCGAGGCACGTCCGCGAATGTAAATAGAAGTGAAACGCAAATGGGTGCAATTATAATTCTCGCCTGAGAGCGCCGACAGGGCGGAACTTCGAGTTTCATTCAAATTTACGAAGGAAGAGGCGTCGTGCGCGCGCGCACTCAACAGGGAGGCCCGGAGGGACTCCTCGCAGAATGAGTTCTCGCGAAAATAGATCAGCGCCCACCGAACTCATCGGAATTTGTCTGATTTGTGTATATTCGAATTACAAATCGCGTTCCTCGCCAATAAAATGGAGGCCGCAGAGACTGCGCCGTCAAGGCAAGTCAAGCTCTCGAACCCAAATCCGTTAAATGCGACGTGTCAGAAAATTCGAGCGACGGAGTGCGAAATTTCTGTTATAAGTGATATCATTGTATTTCCCGTGAAGAGGCTCGTCATTTCTTAACTTGTCGGAATTTATCTGATTTGTGCACATTCAAATTACAAATCGCGCTCCGCACCGATACAAAGAAGGCTGCAGTTGTTGGGAAGAGCTTTCAAATCAACGCCCTTTAAATCCGATATGTGACAAAATTTGATCGAAAAAAGACAATGCGACAAACTATCAAGAATCGCCGTAAATGAAACGCGCGAGCGCGAAAAGATTGATTAATCGACCTCGCATTCCGAATATTTCCCGGGGATTTGAAATGACACTCGCGTCGTCGATACATAAATAATTCTCTCGCTTAAGAAGAAATTAAATCATGAGACGCCGAATTAAATTTAATTGAGGTGTATATATACTGTGAACGCGTCGACGGACAAACAAATCACGACACGCGTATACGGAAAAAGAAAGAGAAAGAGCACGAGGGAGCGAGTGAGAAAGAAAGAGAGAGATCACACTCGGATTAGGCTCGAACGAGGCTTGCGTAACGCTTGCGTGGCACACGTGCGATTGCGAAATTCGTCGGCGTACTTTTCGCCTGGGCTCTGTGCGACTGATCTGCGAGGGGAAAATCTGTAACGTCTTCTCTTCGTCGTCAGTGTTTCACGAGTATTTTTGCACCGTTCCGCCCGACCAGACGTCACGCGATAAAATCGTATCTGCGCAAAGGTTATGAAATGCCACACTGAGAGAAAAATGTTTGGTATTTGTAACTATAATTGTATAGAAAAATAATTACTATAAATTATGATCAAGACAACCATTTTTTAGTCAATTGCATATAATTTAGTGATAATAATCTTACATGCATGTTACTACTATTATCTTCGTGTTGAATCAACCAAAAAATATAGTTGGGTCCAATCTGGTACCAATTATATTTTTTAGTTGTTCCAATACGAAGATAGTAGTAATAATATGCATATAAGGTTATTACCACTAAAATTATAGTGCAATTGACTAAAAAATGGTTGTCGACCATAATTTATAATAATTATTTCTCTATATTATAGTAATTATTTCTCTATATTATAATTACAAATATCAAGCATTTTTCTCTTAGTACATAGGCAAAAACAATATGCAGGATATATATACGGAGAAAAATAATTTTGCTCTTTTGCACGACCATTTTGCATGATTTGCAAAATCATCGTTGCTACTACATATTTGTAATGACAATAAAAAAATTTAGTTGACATAACTAATTTTACAAATTATTCGTTATCAGAGCAGAAATAGTTTCGTTGCTATACGGAAAAAAAGATTTGCTAATATATAGACAACTAAAAATATTAACTGCAGGAGAAAATTTTCTTGCTTTCATAGTAAAAGTTATTTAGTTATAATAGCTAAAAGATTTGCTAATATATATATTAGTAAATATATATACATATATATAAAATAAAAAAAATTTTTTGAGTGTATTTGTCCTGAGAATCACGTTAATTTGCTATCAATGCAAAATAATATATCCTTAGCAAATTTATTTGCTACCGGAGCAAAACTGCAACTGCTTATATAAATCCATCATGGTTCTTACAGCAAAATAATTTGTAGATTCAGCAAATTATATCTAGTAATTAGTAACTAGTACTCTTAGTAAATCTTTTTGCTGTCCATATAATAACGATAAGATTTTGCTGGACTAGCAGAAAATTTGCTAGGTCAGCAAATTATTTTACTGCGTGTAGGAAAAAACCAATAGGAGCTAAGCGCAGAATGTCATATACGAAGAGTTTAATATGATTTAATATCATGAGAAAAACTTTTAATGCAAAAACGTTTCGGTTGATTACTCAATACTAAAGATATACTCAATACTAAAATAATATTAGAAGACATCGGAAATACGGTGTCAATCCAATTCAGTAAATAAAGTCTTGTAAAAAAAAGTCCAAAAGTGTTGTGTCTGCGGTAGACGAAAGTGATGGTCAAAAGAGCAAGTGTCATTCACCTAAACGTTTCCCGACAATTGGAAGAGAGTCAAATAGATCAGAGTGAAAAACCCTTGAGTTCAAAAACTGCGAGCAACACCCGTCCTAAAAGCTAGTCAAAAGGATATAAAAGAAAGAACAATATTTTATCACAAACAAGCAGTACAATTCTAATTTTACGACACTTGCTCTTTGAATATTCTTACTCTTGATGACTAATTAACCGAAACGTTTGCATTAATTCACAACAGTTTTTCTAATGTAACATTAAACCACATTAAACTCTTCGCATATGACATCCTGCGCTTGACTCTTGACATATTTGATTGTACATCATTTGAGCTTTTACTTTATTATTAATATACAGAGTATCTGAATTTAAAAAATGTACGACCGATCATGTACACATAGAATTTGTTAAACTGAATGAAGGAATCTTTAGCATTTCGTAAACTACCACGTAAATTTTCGAGATATTGCGCGTTATCACACATTCCGAATTCTTCTGTAATTAATAACTCAAAATTTCACGTGGCCATTTGCAAAATGGTAGAGGGATTTTGTGTTCAATTTGACGTGATCCATGTGTACATGTTATGAGCCACTTTGCGTCAGGCACTCTGTATATCGATAGGAGGGTATAAGCAAGAGAAACGGCCGAGCTTTTTCCTCTTGCCACATATCCTCTTCTCTCTCCAGGTGGACGAAATGACGACTTGTCCGATATTAAGTACTTTTGAACTCGATATTTATGGGCAACATCGGTATAAACGAGAAACACGGCGGCACGAATGAACGAGCGAACGAACGGGTTTGTATTATTATCGGGAATATCGACACTTCGCGATATACGCGAAATTATTCGCGTGGTGCGATGATAATCAGCGAACGAAAGAATCATCATTTAATTAATCTCGCCAGCGTGATCAACGATCGCAGTTAGAAAGCACATTAACGATCGGTTCTTGGATTACGTCGATATTGCCGTCCTTCTCCCTTTCTTTCTCTCTCTCTCTCTCTCTCTCTCTCTCTCTCTCTCTCTCTCTCTGGCTTTATTATTCATAATTTGGTCTATGATCGTGCGGGCGAAATTACGGAACACGGAAATAAATCACCGGCTATTTCCGGTCGATTAAGCGGGGCGGAACCTATTCTATTGTTATTAATTCTATTGCTATATAACGTAACCATTAATTGCAGTTTATGCTCGATAATTATAATAAATAGAGATTGGTGCGGATTTGCGCAGTATGCAGGAGAAAAAGGAAAAAAAGCAGTCGGATCTGAGAGACCGAGACTGCATTAGTCTAGATGTTCATCGAATCGAGTCGTAAGTAATTCCTTGCGAGAAGATGCTAAATATTAATTTTCTTGGAACGTTTACGGCAAGAGTCGACAAGCTACTGTTAATCAGGAACGCAAGGCAGCGTTAATAAAGATGAATATGTATTCGAACCAGCTCCGTTATAAAGTGTTTCGTACACGAAAATGAGTTTATAAACGAATCATATTATCACACGTCACGCAAGAATTAAATCGACGTAAGCAACTTGACTGAACGCAAGATGTTACACTAAAAGAAAAATTATCTGAGAAATAGAAAATATTGACTCGGTTGTGTGAGTACAATATTTGCTTATACTAATATAAAGAATTTTTCAACTAAGATAATATACATTCTCTGAAAATCTTAAGTTAGCTTGAAGTAAATATGTTATTAAAACGAATTTTTTCTTCATTTTTTACATATTTTTCTCTTAGCTATTAAATTTCTATGTACAACAAAAGTGCCTCAATCTAACATATGCTTTTACATACTTGTTATAAACCTGAATTTTTCGTAAATTATTTCTCATTCCCTATCCTGAACGCAACTCTACTCAATAATTTCTCTGTCGCGAAAAAATTTCACAATTTGAATTTATAAAGAGAAGAAACGGAACGGAAGAACGGAAGAATAGTTACTGGTGACTCGATCCAATGTACGGCGATGTACGATCCAATGTATTAACAAAAAAATAACGAGAAAATTCACTCACCGATTTGCGGCAAATACTCGCTAAGATCAATACTCAATGGCAGCCAGACGGACGACTGATCGTTCACGATCGAGTTTGACAGACCTAAGGCAGAAAGAAAGAAAGATCTGTAAGTAAACAACAACGTACAAACACAGAGAATCGATACAGTAACACGCGATGTGTGTTATTGTTGATGTACACAAGTGGGGCGCGCAAAAACGCGAAATTCTCCGCTGCTCGACGATGTACAACAAATCACATATTTTTCTTCGAGATGAATTTACGGACGTTTTAACCGATTTAACCGATTTGAAAAGATCTAACGGACTTTCGGTAATACGGTCGAACGGTAGTAAATTACACGGCTGCACGCGAATCACGTTCGACGAAGTGTATTATCCGCCCCAGAAACCGACGGATCGAATCGTAAATAGTCTCCGACGAGATTGGCGAGTATTAATTTTTCGAAACGGAAAAAGCTCGCAAAGAGGAAAAGTCGATGAACTGTCTGTCGCAGTCGAGGGAGAACACGAGTCGTTATTAATAATCTGACAAACGCACACAGCTCGATCCGTGCAATACATCACGTGCGAGCAAAAATTGATCAGCACAAGAACAAGGAGGATAATCAGTCGAATCGAAATTTTTGCACCACTTTCGACCTAAACTTTCTAACATCTATATATTGTGAAGCATTAGTGTACACTGAGAAAAAATTTATTAAATTTCAAAAAACGTTTGTTTGGATAGTACTATAAAGATATTTGTTTAAGTTAAGTAATTATTTTCTAAAATTAAAGAAACAAATTTATATTTAAAACTTCTTCATTTAATTTTAGAAAATATTTAATCCGTAATGTGATTCGTGGATCATTTTTTGACAATATCACTTTTCTCCATATATGGGTTACAGAAATTAATATGAAATTTTTTTCTCATTTTATTCAAAATTTTTATTTTTCGTTCAAAACTGTATGTAGCCTCGGACGTAATTCTCTTTTCGCGAAACACAGAGGAAAACGTACAATTTTTCTATTTGTAGAAAAAGATTCGTAACTTTTCAACCCGTTGAAAGTAAGAGAAATCCGTTCAGAGTTACATTCTTGAGGAATGATACTTCACAAAAAAAGAATAGTTCAGCGGTGCCCGCTGAGAAAAACTATACTTCTTTTAACAATTGTCATATTCTGTACACGGAAACAAAACAATTTACACATGGAGATTGAAGTCCTACTAGCGTCTTTAAACAGGCAGGAAACGCACAAAATGTCACTTTTGACAGAATTAGAATCAAAAGAAGTTGATGTAGGCTTCGGAGTATAAAAGTAGACGAAAGATTGAGGTCGAAAGTGGGATCAAAATTTCGATTCGACAGAAATTAGACGGAAATTTCGATAATTCCGCACGACGAAGCGTAACCACGAGCCATCGTGCTTTATCGTGTGCGATTACACGCCGCCGGTGTGCTCCTTCGCAGTGCATCTCGTCGCGTTTAATCCGCCGGAAACAGCGCGAAAGCGCGAGCTTCACGACTGATTCAATCGCGACGTAACAAACGAGTGGTCATAACTCTCTCGCGGGAATTCGCGAAACGCCGATACAATGGTATACGTAGTGCTGAGCCATCAGAACCAACATCCATCACCGGGTCTCAAAGTAGACGCGACGGTGACGGATTGAACCTCGCCCGTATCGATGGCGTAATTCGATAATTACACGCGGGGTTCGGCGCGTCAGTCCGCGCAGTCGATCGCGTTGGACTCTCCTCCTCGCGACAGGACTTGAATGTCTTTCGTCCTCTTCCTCTCTTTTTGCTAGAGTGAGGTAAAAGTACCTTAACCCCCGCACGCACATCTAATCCTAGAAATTCTTATTGTTTTGGTCTTTAAGTACGAATATTTGGACTTACAATATAAACATATACACATGTATTGAATATATATTTTCTGTTAAAAACATAATTCGTGTTCAAACTGGGTTGCACTCCGAAACATCTTCTTTGAGGGAAATCTTACTGAAAATTCATGGTATATATAACGTTAACTGTAAATTTTCAGTGAAGCTTTCTTCTAGAAGGAATGCAGCCTAAAACGTCCAGGATTAGGTATACATTCGGGAGTTGATACACTTTTGCCTTAATCGAGGGTGGTGGCCACTCGAGGCGCCGAAAAATGCGGAGTGCGCGCTGGACGCGCTCCAGTTGCGCGGCGATTTAAATATTTCCACAAGAAGCGGCCACCCTGCTGCCACAACTTTGGTGTCCGACTTTCTCAGTTTCTTTCTATAAATCGGGAGACGCAGTGGAGCCTGGCGCCAAGTGTATAACATACGACGCTTTCGTGAAAATTATACGCGCGAAGGACGCCACCGCGTGCGTCTCGGCGAGACAAGACAGAGAGAAACAGAGAAAGAAAGGAGAGAAAGAGAGAGAGAGAGAGAGAAACTCGCGCACGAAAGTCATATAAACTAGACTTGGCGTTAATATCTTGCTGCTTCAAGCGCGTCTTCCGCCTCCCGAAAATCATCGATTCGTTCATAAGCGGAAGAACGCAGGCATCGTGCGCGTTGTGTTGCCAAGACGGCCGTTATTGCCCGCTGACGTAGCCGGCTTTGAAAGATTAAAATACTTTGAGCGATTTGCATGAAAGATTTATTACGAAGCTTCTCGCAAGAAACTTCGTTCCCGCAAATTGTCCCCTTGCGCGCGCGCGCGCGTATGCTCGAGCCGTAGTAATCCGAGCTATTCCCTGCGCTAGTTGAAAATGAATAAGAGAAACTTAGCGCTGCTGAATTGTTTCAAGCGAAATAGTTGCCGGGCATCGTACTGATAATGACATGTAAATAATTCACGAAATCAATCTTCTCAAGTCCCGCCCGCTGCATACAGAAAAACGCATACTGCGTTTACATAAATACTTGTACTTCGAGTATTTCGAGAGTTTACATATCCGCTAATCTACCAGTGTATATATAATAAGCATCAAATTTCTTCAAAATACACCCTGAATTCTAGTAATTTCTGTGCTCCAATCGAAAACGATAAATTAAAGCAAAAATGCGAGTAAATTCCTTTTTTAAGTGTATGATAATAAGCTTTTCTCAAATTTGTAATAAACACATTTTAAGACAGACATTATTAAAAGAAAATATTCTTCATCGAAGATAATTGTTATTTAAGAGGAAGAAAGTAAACTGAGTAATTGCTTTTTTAATATCAAAATGATATTTTTCTGTGTGTGCAAACCCACTTCGCAAGTTCAAAACTCACTATAACTCGTTCTTCTAACGACGATATTTTATATATAATTATACACAAATATATTTTTCTACGCTACAAATTGAGAGAAAATCTCATTTACAGCTAACATTTGGAATTTATTCACCAAGCTTCATCAATGCTCAATTTGCGAAGTTATCGCAGATATCGGAGACGGAAGACTTGGACTGCTTTAACGGCATTATTTTTCGTATTTTCCTGCATGCAAATGCGATTAAAAGTACGTCGCTAATGGAAAACGGAGAGACGGGGTCTGAATGAAAATGCAGTGACGGGAAAAAGGAACGCCGGAACATTATCCCGCGTCTACCGTGGTCTCGCGGACCCTACAGTGCGCGCGATTGTGCTTCGAACAATAAATTTGTCAAAGGTACAATAATCTCATTGCGCGGACATTAATTTGAGCACGCGGTTTTGCCGAGTAAATTTCGAGACCGTGTCCGCAAAGACAAAGCACGACCAAGCGAAAAGCTGCGGTAACGACCAAAGCAGATCACGCCGCAAATTAGATGGATAAAATGAGCGAAAGGAAACGACTCGATCGATCGAGCCGAGACTCGAAAAACAAGATGAAACAAAAGAAAATCTAACGCGCGCGCGCGTACGTGCCCGCAATAACACTCGGCTGATTGGAAATCATCATTTTCTCGCGAAAGCATCCAGCCATTGATTCCCGACTGATTCTCCCCTTCTTGTTCTCGATGTTCCGACGTTCGTACGGTCGAAGGCAAACGGCACCGGCGCTCCAACTCGTTAACGCACCTCTCTCGGTCACTGGACGCTCGTAAGGGGTTATTAACTTATTACGTCGCACGCCGATAAATATAGGCGACGGGAAAGCGCTCGCAGGAAAACCCGACGACGATCCTCCCCGCGTCACGTTGCCAGTTGGCTAAACCACCGTCCCTATTCTCTGCCTATGTCGCGTGCAGCGCGATCTTAGTGAGCCGAGAGAGGCGAGACGCTGGCCGCTTTTAGACGCTCGTCGCGGCTCGCCTGATGAAATTTCGGGAGCACGCTATCGCTGGGCGAACACAGCCGCGCACAGAAAGGGAAAGAGAGAAGAAGAGAGATGGATGTTGTGGAAAATTGTTGAAAACAAGGGGCCCTTTCGCGCGACACGAGGAAGACGTGCACGCGCGCGTCTCCTTGAGTGAGTCTTCAGCGAGCGCATTAACGTCGCGGGCAACACGATCCGCGGGAAATACGAGAAAAGCTTCTCTCGCGATCTGAACCGATGTTACGGCTGCTTCGACAACGGATTCGCAAACCACGTCAAATTCACTCTCCACACTCGCGTGTGTGCCAAGAGAGAGACAGAGACAGAGAGAGGGGGAGAGAGAGAGAGACACGACATGATTGCAGCAAGGACGATGCTAATCCTTTAGGGGATAACCGGGGTGTGTGTATGACACCGATGTCAACTGACGCTTAACACGTCGGGCTCTTGGGCATACATGCAGAAGGGGTGTAAATATTGAAGGAAGATTAATATTCGATATTTTTTTCGGGACGCTCGCGGCCAGAGCAAGAGACGAGAGAGAAGAATGGATTTTAAGTGATCGATCGTCGTGGGAGGACGTGTATCTCTCTGCGAACTGCAGGAGTGACGCGTGTATTTGTATTCCGTTTAAAAATAAAATCAAAAGCAACATCAAATGTGTGTGAAAATGATGAAAATCGAAGAACTCTCGACATGACGCGCGACATTTCGCTCGCAAATATTTTTGCAAACGTTGCGCTCCGCGATACTCTATACTGAGAAAAATAAATGGTTGTCCTAACTAAAATTATCTAACTAAAATTACTTTTGGCCTCAATTATATTTTTTAGCTGTTCCAACACATAACTGGTAACGATAGCATGCATATAAAGTTATCATCGCTAACATAATAGTAGAATTTAATTAAAAAATAGTTTTCTCGACCCTAATTTTTAGTAATTATTTCTCTGTAATTTCAGTTGTAAATATCAAACATTTTTTTCTCAGTATATGAAATAAACTCCACGGTGCTGCAACGAGCTGATCGAGGTTGATCTGCTTCGTGAGATCTCGTCACGGAAAAAAAAAGATTTGCTATATGGATATGGATATAGACAATTAAACATAATTTACTGTGTTAGACACTTTTTTTTTGCTGCAGAAATAAATTTCCTTAATAACAAGAAAATCTGCTCCTGCAACAAAAAAGTAGCTAAAGCAGTAAATTATGTTTAACTGTAGCAAATTTGCTGTGTTAGTCATTTTTCTTGCTATAAGAGCAGAATTTCTTGTTATCATAGCAAGGAAATAGGTTCCTGCAGCAAAGAAAAAGTAGCTAATTATGTTTAACTATCCACATATAGCAAATTAGTTTGCTGCTGCAGCAAATTCTTTTTTCCGTGGTTAATTACTCGCCTACCCACCCACCCACATATACACACATGCATTTTATTTTCCAGATATTTCCGATTATAATGCGTTTTCATTAATTCTATTTTTCCTTCGATTTTCCAGAACATGTCGTCCATGCGAACGCAGTCGACCGGAGGCGGTGTTCTCGGTTTGAGTAGCATCGGCTCCGATCGTACGGGCGCAACTTCGACCGGCGCCGGCTCCCATTCGCATTCCCATTCGCACAGAAGGCATCATCATCACCATAGGAGCAGAAGCGCTCCCCGGGCACTGGAGAAACCGCCCAGAAAGCGTCATCTAAATCCTGGACGGAGTCTCGCTTCCATTCCCTGTCAGATCAAGCTGTCGATGCTGAACAGCGGCCTCATCTCGTTCAGTGAGTTGATTCGAGTCCGTCTCTTTAATGAATCGCTCTGGTCCACCAGTGGTGCTTCCAGTTAATCCCCTAGCCACCCTCCCGAACGATACTAACGTCTCAGAAACTCGAAAGATGCCCAAAAATGGCGTCCCAAATAATTGAATATTGGTTTCTTTTATTACGCGCGCATTACACGCACGACCACAGAGAAGAGAAAGATTAGTTGAATTAATGACAATGACAAACACACTAAGTGCGTTTTAGTCGAAGAAAACGGAATTTCAGAACCTTATCAACCAAACTCGATTCTTAAGAACTAGAAATTCAATTTCCTCCAACCGAAACGTGTTGAATTGTGTTATCGTATTAATGCAACACGGAAAATACTAGGGAAAATACCACTTGGCTAAATATGGTTGCTCTAACAAAATATTCATGTTCTTTTCCGTCTATGCATAAAAAGGTTGTAGGAACTGTAATTGAGTTCAATTCTAAGTTGCACTTACACACAAACTTTTTTCCTAACCATAGAGAATGAGACTGTAGTAATCTTAACAGTTTTCTCCGTAAACCAATTTTTTTCCTCCAATCCTTTTTTTCCATATATTCGAGCGTAATTATGAACAACAAAACAAACTGCAAGCGGTGAAATTCGTATGACAATAACTGAGAAACATAATAAAAAATAATTGACATTAATGATGATTAGCGGTTGTGGTATTCGCATATGATTGTTTGAAAAATGCAAACTTCAATTACATCATATGTATGTGTGTATATGAGTGTGTATGAATGATGACTAATGAAACTCGCATTAAACGCAAAGTGACGTGAATCTGAATTGGCCGTGCGCGCTTCGTAAATTTTTCCTCTGCCGGAGCGTTAAAATTCAGCGTTTGCTGTTTCGACAAAGATTGTTTCGACAATGAATACATCGCGGCGCGGGGTGGGAGGTCAGGCTTCGAGGACAGGAACGAATGTTTCATTCGAATCGAATGAGATGCATTATTTTCATAAATGCGCGAGACATTACGCGCGCGCCATCGCGCGTTGAAACTCCGCGGATTTTACGCCGAGCATCGCAAATGCATTTCCCATTACGCGGGAATAAATTTTATGCATTCAGGCCAGCCCGAATCCAAAGGTTCCACTCGACACGACTGCGCAATTGACACTCTGTAAAGAACATCAAGCGCATAATTCGATAAAGCTGAACGCTCCCTCTCGAAGCCTTTTGAGACGTATTAGAAGCTTTTAGCGTCAAGCTGACTGCCTCCCTCCCTCCCTCTATCTCTCTCTCTTTCTTTCCCCCAGCGTATCGTTCTACAAAACTTTTTCGCTCACGATGCTTTCGCATCTGAAATTACAAGAGAATACCCGTCTTTGTGTTTTCCCTCTCTTTTTCTTCTCGCTTTTTCTCGCCAATCGCGCCAACGGGCGCTCAACGACGACGCATTGTTCGACGTGCTCGAACGTCCCGAAATTTCCAAGCTTTAACTTCCCGATACTCATGAGCGCGCGGACATCGAAGCTTCCACGGCATTATGTTCTCGTAGTTTTCCGGCTGCGAGCACTTTAGACTCTCGAGAGGGGACCTGAGGTACTCTAAATATTCTCGGAGCTCTCGAGATCTTCGAGAGATCGCGTTGAAACTTACGGTACTTTCCGTGAGCTTGCAGCCGTTTCGAAAAAAGCTACGGAGATTTTCACGCGTTGTAGGATATTTCTCACGAAAACGGCGAGTTCGCCGAAAATACACGTAAACTTGCCGTGTTAAATTGCGAGCGAGCGAGCGCAAACGTTTACACAAATTCCGGCGCTTCTACAAGTGAAAACCGAGTAAATGGATACTGACTTTTTTCTCCCTCCCTCCTCCCCTCTTCTCTCTCTTCCCACTTTTTCTATTAAACGCGACGGTATATACCATGTATATACCGTGTAACGATCCCCGGGGAAAATTCTGCCTGCGATTAGCGTCGCGTTCGATTTTAAAACGTTCTTCGATTTTTCCGCCAACATGCGGTGGATCTCGCTGTCTATCTGAATAGCAAAACAGCCATCATTAGCAAGTCAATACGTAAGCATCGGTAATCCCGTTAGCTCGCGTCACATCGTGCTTTCTGATCTGTACGCGAGATGAAGGCCCGAGATATCGGCGGTTTTGAATCCGGTAATCGAACGTAACGGAACGCGGAACGTGTCTCTCTTGGCGAAGCTCCCGACGGAGAGACCTCGCGTTGGACATTATTAATGACCGGCTCTATATAACCCCGTTTTAAATTTCTGCACGCAGGATCCTCCGCGACACGTTTTACGAGTCGTAACCCGAGCGCGTGTGGGAGCTAGACGTGACGTGCTAAAAGCACACTGTTAACAACCGGGATCTGAGAAGATTGTTTATAGCACGGATACTTGTAAGCTTAGTCGCGCGGTACGCTCGAGTGGAGCTGCCATCACCGGAGGAATCAGCGGCAGGACCAACATTTGACGCCGAGAATATCATTCATAACGAGGTCGAGAGGCATTCTTATCTGCATGCATCGCGCCGAACTGCGTATCCGTCTTGACACCTGCTCTTGTCGCGCAAAGAAACCAATTAACGTTAACGCGCTCTCACCTACGCGCGGGGCTCGTTGAGATGAAGTACCTTAACAGGTCATTAAGGGCCGGTCGCGTAATGCTCGAACCCGTAATGCTCGTTCCACGGTGATTACCGTCGTCGTCGTCATCGTCGTCGTCGTTGTCGTCGTCAGTGGGAAATACTGTCGTCGCAAGCTCGCGTTTCCCAGCAACGGTTGAGGGAGGGGCCATTTATTCCGCCGCTTTTATTGCGAGGACTTACGCATATTTTTCTCAATGGCTAAACATTTCCCCCTGTCAGCGCGCGTGAATGGCATTGTCATTTTAGATTCGAAGGCACATTGAGAGTGCACAATGTGGCCTAGACGCGTTAATCATCGCGCGAGACAATAACACTGCCAGTTACACGCTTTGCCTATTGTATTGAGCGCGGGCGCACCTTGACGTGTACATTTTTTTCTCCCTTTTTTCCGACCTATACACATACACACACACACACACACAATGCGATTCTTTTCGTTCTCCGTGTTTCCGCGAGCAGCGTTTCCGCGAGCAACATTCTCGATAAGAGTTTGCACGTCGCATGTGCGACTACGAACACTTAGACCATTTGGAGCTTCCCTTTGAATGAAGAAGCGAAGCGCACGTTTAAAGCTCGTTGCGAGCGCAAGGCGCTTTAGACACCCAGCGTCCTCAAGTTTTACCTTAAGAGGTCGCATTGTGCGCAGATACGCAGGCGAGAGCAGCCCGCGATACCTAAACTTTGCCGTCTAAAACGAGACTAGTTTGTCGTGAACGTAAAACGTCGTCGATGCGTTCCGTACAGCTGCAGAAAGGCCGCGAGCGTGTACCCGGCGCGAATTGCCTTATGCCGCCTTTATTTTCAGAGATATAAAAACGTCGAGCATTATAAATGATCTCATGCATTTTTATAGCGTTATAATGAAAACGCTTCTCCAAGGAGCGAGTGGCAAACGTTTGACATCGTGCATAACACGTGCGCGACATTCTGTTTTATGTATCGTGGAAAGGGTGGGAAACAGATATTTCCAACTCATGTCTGTTCCTACCAACATCGATTAACCTCTTTAAGGCAGTGTGGCTACAATAGTTTAATAATAAAATTCTTTTTACTTAATTTAAGCCTCGTTTAAAGGACTTTAATTGAACTATTGTATTTTCTTTAATTCACTGAAAATACGAATTAAATATATCTTGTTATGTTAGATATCTTGTATTTTCCAAAATTCCTTAAAGAAAATAACAATAAAGAGGAAAGGAATCTAAATGTGTTTATTAAAAAAACGCGCGATCATTTTAAATGGCCACTGAAGAAGTTAACAGAGACATTTGATCCTTTTCATTTTTAGACTAATATCCTGCTTCTTGTGTAAAAGATAAGACTAAATCAACTACTCCATCAGAATAAACCCAAGCAACATAATGTCCAAAATTAGGACTTAAAACGTCTTAAAGATTATCTTTAAGATGTCTTTCAGACGATTTACGTATAAATGTCTTTAAGACGTCTTATGTCCCGATTTTAGATATTACATTGTCTGGGAAGCGTCAGTTATTTGACGAAAAGTAAAAAATCCTATCTTTTGCAATAGAAACAGGATGCTAATTTAGAAAATAAAAACAATAAAAAAAGATTGCTTGATGTTTTAATGTCAAAAACCTTAACCCGGGTTCAAATTCTATTTAGACCGAGGACTTGAACTCAAGGGTTACGTTCGGAAACGTTACTCGAATACTCTTCCTCTCTTTTTATCTCACTCTTATATCTCGCTCACTCCAACGCAAGAGGTACACTTGGGTGACGTTTCCGAATGCAGCCAAAGGGTCTAATCGACGTTGGTAGAAGCAGACATAAGTCACATTTTGCGCGTTTATCCGCCATAGCCGCAAATGCAGGAGCATCTGGCGGCGCAGAAAACAAAATAAGATGGGCAAAATAAAATGAGACAAATAACGTCGACATCGCGAAACGCGAGGCACTAAAGAGAATCGGCAGGAATTAATTCGGATGCGCGGTGGCAACGTCCAACATCTGGCTCCGATTTACGAATTCCCGAGGCTCGGCGTGAAAGGAAACGGGGATGCATCGGGTATTTTTAAACTAACGCGCAAACTGACACACACATATGTACAAGCACGTATATACGCACACCGACTGCATAACATTCAACCCACAATCGTCGGCGCGATGATGCCGCTGTCACGACAAACACAGTCAGTTGATCTTGACACAAATGCGAGCGGCCCAGTGCCACGAACGTTGTCCCTTACTCCGTCACCGACGACGACGACGACGACGGCGACGGCGACGCCGGTGACGAGCCTCTTTCGCAACGAAAATAAAGCGATGCTTTTCCGAGCTGACTCACTCGACCTACGTCCGTGAACCGGATACGAGGCGCAGCAGGCAGGAGGAT